GATTTTCTGAAATGGCAACCAAATCCACACACAAGGCTAAAATATTAGACAACAGATTTGTAGTACACACAAGAGTACTTAGTAAAAAAACATTTCTATTGTAGCTATGAAAACCTTGGCTCCAAAGTGCTTCACGAATACACAGGACAAATCAGTTCACAAAAACAAAATGTCAGGAGGAAAAAATTAAAAAAATATCTAAAAACAAAACAGGATTTACAATCTGATGTGATTTAAATCATCACTGACCTGACCCACAGGGGGAGACCGCTCATAAACCTGGCATCCAGAAGCATGATCATCTGTAGCTTTGATTGTGATCCAGCTACACGGGAGACCTTGCTGAGGGGACGAGTAGTGCAGCAGACATATGGAGTTGCCCAGAGTCTTATAATTTATAAGTTAAAGTGGTTTTGTTTTTAAATGAAACTTCACAAAGTATAACCCTTCTGTATTTTCAGAAGGTTCAGATCCCCTATTTGTGACTAAAGGGCAGGAGTGCTCAAAAGTCTTAAAGGTCCAAATTTCCACAGTGTACACAAAACACCCGCACTTTATACCGCAGGAAACATACAAATGAGTTTGCTGTGGTATAGGTTTTTCACTATATTCGTATTTGACTATCCTAAGTCTTCTGATTTTACAGTTACTCCGGGTATTCTGGTAGCTGGATGTGACGTGACTGAAATGTTCTCATTCTTACCAGAAGGTAAGTTCTGGGGAATTTTTGAAAATTCTTACAAAAAATGGCCACGGTTTGATTGCAAAAGAAGCAACCTGGTCTCATACTTTCCGCATGTAAATTAGCCTACTCAAGCTTAAACATGGTTTTCACAGTCAGCCTTTATTTGCATCAGCTAGTTTTGAACCTTCCTTTTCACTTTTTTAATTCAAGCTTTTAACTTAAGTGACGTTCTTGCTTGCTGCTGGCAGCTAAAAGATGTAGGTGTGATCTGACGTGAGATCCATATATCTCTTGCAAGGGAGCTGAGTCAGATTGCACAAAAATTTTGCTTTGAGTCAGAATCAAATTTTCCCCACCTATGGAGTATGTGGGCCATAGGGTGTGGGTGGGTAATTTCTGAAGTCTAAGCCTTGCCAGTGACGAGCATTTCACCAAAGTGCGATTTGTAAGATCATCATTCCTCAAAGATGCTTTAAGCTGTAAGTATCGATAGAATAAGAACAAGCCATTGCCTGCATGGTTCAAACCAGTGTGTTGTATTCAAGTAAGTATATCGATACTGTGTCTACATCAGTTGGCTGCAATTCACACCTGGCATCTCACCATTACTCAAAGGTGGCTCCAGTGATTACTTGTTATTGGATTTTGCTTGCCGTGTAAGGTTTTAGTTTATCTGTGGAAGAAGTGTGACTTCTACTTAACAGAAAAAGAAAAAAATTAAGCTCCAACATGCAGACAGAGGAGAAGGTGGCTATTTCTGTTTTTGGTTTGCAGACCTAAAAATCTTGTCCAAGTTATAACCATGTGTTGGAGAATCATTCTGTTCAACCCTGTTCCCTAGAAACTATGTTTGTGCTACTAATTTTCAATGGCAAATATGTTTTGTAGGAAATGTTATTGCAACCAGATTACATTTTATCCTAACGACAGTTGTATTCATGTATTTGACAAGTCATAAAAATGTTGATACACAACAAATTAGTGAAATATTTATGTCTGCCAAAATATCTGATCTTGCAGTACAATATCCACCAGTGACTGCAGCATGATTAAACTTTGTTATGGTTATGTTTAGGCAGGTCTAATGCAGAAAAACCTCACTATGACTTCAGACACAGTGCGTTTATTTAAGTTTAACCCTAACCTTAACCAATGTGCTTTTGTTCCGTAAACCTAATTGCAGACGGGACTGTGAACCCTGCTCTCTGGTGTGACGGTTGTGTGCCTGTCATCCACCCCAACCACCTCCTATAGGGACGCTGCTGCCTTTCATAAAAAAAAAAAAAGAAAAAAAGAAAGAAAACATTGCCACTGAGCAAAATCCATCCAGTGATTAAGTTGCCACCAAATAATTGATAAAGCATTTCAGTAGTGAATGAATATCTAGGAGACAGGGTTGCCCAGTTTTCTTCAGTGTGGTGTGGATCACTACTCTTAAACCCTACTTGTGGGCGTACCTGGATTTACTTGTGGTTTTATGTGACCAGATTGCTGTCCAGTAAGACAAGAAACAATCTCATGCAAAGAAAAGCCTTCTTCTACCTGTGTGAAGATATTACCATCAGAGACACTGATGCAGAAAGGAAAAACAGCAAAAGGCAGGCAACACTGAATAGCTGACATGCATCTCAGGGTATGAGGTCAGCAGTTTTCTTGGAAGAAAAGTGTGCAACACAGTTGACACATCTCTGCCTGCCTGTTAAAGAAAAAGAAAAGGCACCCAATGCTTCTCATTCACAGAGCCTTCCTGTAACCCATGGCTGTGATTTGAAAGGTGATGATGCCTCTCCAGATCTGAATACCAATTTAGACTGTGCTACTGAGATAAAACTGACTGCTCATTTTTCATTACTGCACATTATTTCTGAAGCTACATCTGTATCTCATGTCATTATAATGTAAAGCTAATCGGTTTAGGTTTAACACTGAACCGGGCTCAAACCACAAATGTGTGTGTGTGTGTGTGTGTGTGTGTGTGTGTGTGTGTGTGTATACATATGTTACATACTGTTGTGTTGTTACAAAGGCCAAGAAATTAAAGAGAAGAACTTTGATTTATAAATTTAATAACAGATACAAGTGCAATCAGTCTAATATCAGAGGCCGGGACTTCTAGATTCAACAGATCTCCCATCTCTACTTCAAAGGGACACAACAGGACAATGACTGAGTTTAAATAAATCAATTTACTACGACATACTAATATAGTATAAATACAATGTCTGATAATTACTAAGATGAAAATTGAAGTAAAAGAACAGGGTTTATCGATATCTGATAAAATAAACTGTGTAATGAATTGGGCAATGGTAGGAGAGAATATGTTTGGGCTATTTGTACGACTATACCACTAAACGATACAGAGATGTCTACAAAGGAAAATTTGATGGTTAAAATATTATTTTATCTCGTCACCAAACCAGAAGAGTAAGTTTTGCTTACTGTGTGGTGCGCTGTAGCTGAAGATTGTCCTGGTCGGAACCGGCAGTTGTTGGTGTTGGAAGCCTGGAACTTCTTCACGATGAACTCTTAGGTGGTTTCCCTGGAGACGACGTGCGGCCACCGGCAACTGCCTCCACCGGTTCTCTCAGCTGCTCGGTGCCATTCCATCAAGTCATTCTTTAGGATAGAGATCTGAGGATTGATTTATTACATAAAAAATGACATTGGATGGATAGTTAGTTTTATATTATTTGAGAAATAATGAAATATGTCTGAAAAGAGTAAATAATCACAGTCCTTTTGGAGTTACTTTCCCTGTATAAGCAATTATTAAATAGATTATTATTAATGAATTGTGACGTTTTTGGGTCCATAAGTCTGCATGTCTTTACTATGTGACTGTTATTGTGGTGTCATGAGATTTCCTGAATAGAGGGACAGCAGCAGAGAGAGCAACAATTAAAAACCTGCACTTTGGGATAATAATCCAAGGTCTGTCACTTTTTTGATTTTAACTTTGAATGCTTTCTCCTGCTTTCACTAATGTACCGGGGTGTACTGTAGTGTGTGTGCAACAGTGATTTCATTTGAGAGTTGCAGAACCAAGCAGTGAATGTTTGCCTCTCAGCTCTGGGATAAACATGATATTTTAGACCATGGGACCAGCAAGGTGACAGGTGAAAAGTGCCTTTGTTGATAAAAGTGTAAATGGGTAAATCTTTGTGAACTGTCGTGTTTCCCATTGTAAAACCAACAAAATGCAAGTGTGCTCAAGGGTTGTGCTTGGGCTGAAATATCCTGGTGTAGAGTAGGAACTTAAGTAAAGAGGAAAGTATACGTTGCATCATTTTACCAAACTAAGAGTTACACATTTGTGGAAAACTGATATTAATGGACCTCAAACTAATACTTCTTTGGACAATTCTGAAAGCCACCACAGCTCATGGTGACATACAGTGATGTCTGGATGTTTTTGGACAGAGATCCTAAATTAGAAGTGACAGTTAAGACTATTACCAATTATTGTAACCTCTACAGTTTTACCTGTGTTATCCCTGTTTCCACTATAATACAGTGAAATTAAAGGGTAACGTTTCTGGTACTTGTGTATTTTGGCATTTCCATCAAAAACCTGTTTGTAACACCCCGTACATTTTGCATCACAACTCCAGTTTTTATACCCACAGGCCGAGCTTTCTTAAAAGCTATAGGTTTGAATGCTAACTGCTGAGGCAGCTCAGTGAAATGTGCATGTCTTTTCATATACTATTCCTGAATGCCTCATAGCTGCCAAACTCCACTACTCATGAGCCAAGAAGGAAGTAGGTGGTGGCAGGCTGCCCTGCTGTTTTCACTGCTCAGCACTGTGAGGGCCAGCACTGCTCTCCCCCAGCTCAGGCATCCTCAAACTGCAAGACACCCAAATATGGATCACACAGGCTGTGGTATGGGCTGGCAGCATCATAAAGGATTGAGGATGCTGGTTTGGGTAATGATTGCCACACTCCATCCCTTGAGGCAACAGGGCTAGACTCTCCGTGACTGGCTGAGAAATAAGAGTATGCAAATTTCAGTGCACTACTTAGCATTTTGATTGGTGGAGCCAATATAACCCATTTTAGAGCATTAGAGGGCAAAGTCTGTGTGAAATTCGAGCCTGGAAGTGCCTGAGATTTATCACTCAACATTTCAAAATACTTCAAACTCTTCAAGAACAGCTGTTTAAATAAAGGTCTTGATATTATTCTTAGTTTCAAAAGCTTCTTAACAACTGTACTGTCATGGCAGCAAACATGTTTATTCAAACCTGTTTTTTTTTTTCACCTAAAGGATAAAAGTCTCACTTCAGCATGAAACTGTTCTGCTTTTTCAGATCAGAAGACGTAGACCCACTCCTGCCACTTTAGTGGCATCCAGTGATCAGTCATCACCTGGTAAGGCACTTCAATACAAACACAAACACAAACATACTCATACGCACACATACACAAGTGGCTCCACTCCCCCTCTCCTTAACTGAAAAACCTTTATGTCTTATGTTTATATTTTTTTATCCAAGAGAAAAAAGTTATCAACAGTCCTTAAATCTCAAAACAAAATAACATGCGTAGAGATTTTCTAGTCTGTTGGTATTCTACAAATCTTTCACAGCAGCTCCCCAGTGTCTCCCTAGAAATGCACACAAGGTCAGTTAACAGTTAAATCCTGGTGTCCTGTTAGAAGATATAAATAATGAATGAGGATATCCACTTGTCTGTAATATTACGGACAGTTTTGGAGAGGTGGGATGAGTGCCTGTGCCATCGAGCCCGTCTGAGCAAGAGGAAAGACAAGTGGAAAAAATTTACTGAAACCTTGTGGAGTGCTTCTGCCTGCAGAATCTGTCACTGTGTTTTTATTTATTTATCTGTGTTATTTTATTAAGTTATTTTAACATTTACATATTGAGCTCCTGCAGTCTTTGCCTCTACTGCCCAGCAGCAGCTCGGAGCATGTGTTACTGTATTAGCCCACTGGTCAGGTCAGGGGTCGGGTCCAGAATCCATTAAAATATAATTGCAGTAAAAGGGTCAATCCCAATGCTGGGCTTTGCAGGAGCACACCAGGTTAACAAAACTGGAAGAGTAAGAGTCAGAAGAAGATTGAAAATGGCTCCCCCTCATACAGTATTTCACACACTGTGGAAGACCCTTTGTTTTCTTGCTGGAGCCCCTCAGTGTTTGTACACTTGTTTCTGAATGAGTTGTCTGTATTTTTTCATGCAGGTCTGAAGTCAATCTGATCTCAGTTTTAGCCAGACTTATTTGGAGAAGAAAGAAATGATCATCCAAAATGTCAGTTGTAAACAGACTGGATTTGTCATTCATCTGTAACCAACTTCAGGGCAGTCAGAGATTTTTTTTTAACTTTTCAATTGTGGCCATTTTCAGTTGCACCTCATAATAAAGTGTTGTTCATGTTACCTGCCCTTTTGGACTTCATTGTGTTGTGGCCGTAGATCTCAGAAACTACTTGAGTACAGTGTAAGTGTAATCCCTAGAAATGATTGCAGGAACCACCGAAGTAAGATAATATGTAATGAACCGGAATTATCTTTTTTAACCAAAGCCTAATCTGACCCTCAGCCAAACCTAACCTTAACCTAAAACCAAATCTGAATATTGAAATAAATGTTTAACCTTTCAGAGATTATAGGTTTTTGTACCCAGAAGAGAAATGAATCTCCATAATGTGACAGTGATTCATGCAGGAAGCTACTATGTAAACCACACACTGACAAGTTACAATAGTCACAATATGTTTCACACACCTACAGACAATTCTATTTCTTATTTTGAATCCTGTGATGTTACATCTCAGTCTTATTATGCACCAAATGAACCTTCTTGCTGCATCAGAGCAACAAATACAGCCGTGTGTGTGTGTGTGTGTGTGTGTGTGTGTGTGTGTGTTTCTCCTCTCATTGGATCTTAATGATCAAACACAGCAGTGCTCCTCTAGAGTGTTATCCTATTCTATGAGTCATCCATTGGCTCCCTGCTTCCCTCCCTGCCTCGGCTGTACTCTGATGTGCAAGTGTGTGACCTGCTGCAGAATTAAGAGATGGTCAGCTGGGAATACAGGGCAGAGAGAGTAATTTTCTCCAGGTGAGAAAACAGAGGGTGATACTCTGTGTTTTTGTATGAATAAATGAATGCTGATGTGTCACTGCGGATACCAGCAGAGACTGCCATTGTCATATTTATCACAGAGACATGACAAATAATTAGTGTTTTCATCTTGAAAACAAGTCTTTCTAATTGGATATGTTAAAAAGGTTGCCTTTGCCTGTGATCTGTTTGCTTAATGCGTGTCTATGTGTGTGTTTGTGTGTGTGTTTTTGTGTGTGTGTATGTGTGTGTGATTATAATGTGCTTGTCTGCGTGTTTGATTTGGTAATTGGGTGCTGAGCACGTGGAGCGTCTCAGAAACAACTTTGATCAGATTTGAATGAAAGTGCAGAGAAAACCCTCCACAAGCTTCCAGATTAGAGAAGAGTGAAAACATAAAGAAGAAACTTAAGAGACTAGAGTGGCGAAGAGGAGACATTGTTTGTGATGTGAAGAAATGGAAAAAAAAAAAAAAAAAACTGGAAGATGTTACTTGAAGATTTTTTTTTTTTATTGTGTTACACTGTTCTTCTGAAGGCATTTTACTTGTTTTAAAAGATGAAGAGGTTAAAGAGTGTCAAGATAACCCATGGAAATTTAAGTCTCAGGACTCCAGTATAGAATATCTTAGGTTTAGGTAATGTTTAATTTCCAATGCATTGCTTATTTTATGCATTACTACATTGGCTTTTCATACTTAAACTAGAATGGCACTTGGTACGGCGTATACCTCCCCCAAGGCCAAACAATCCTACACACGTCTGTCAGCTCCAGATTATTATCTGATTCTGCAGCAAATTGTAGAAAGTCATAGATCTCAACACCATAAATATGTCTGTTTTTTTTTTACATCAAGATCCATATATTATTTACTCAAAAACTGACAAAAAATGTTAAAGAAAATGCTCTGTCTTGCAAAGTTAAGGAAAGTGATGAAAAATGAAAAAAGCTTTTCACCTGATTAGCACCAAAATTTGATGTTTCCCCCCAGGCCCATACCCCATCCTTTCACCATGTTTGGTGTATATTTGTTCAGCGCTTTTTGTGTAATCCTGCTGACAAACATACAAACAAACAGACACAGGTGAAAACAACCTCCTTGGTGGAAGTAACAATTGCATTTACTTTGGTTTTAACCATACAAACTGCATATGTAGGTTGGTTGGTCGGTCACAAAAATTAGAATATCTCAACAAATTTTCTACAGATGTTCATGGCCCACAGATGTCGAATCCTGATGACTTTTTATGATGCGCTGACTTTTCCTCCAGTCACTGTTCAAATGCTCTTCAGTAAGCTCCCATAGCTGGACATTCAGGGCTGATTCTGACTGTCTTCGGTTCAATAATACATACACAGTCTGTTGCTGGTTCAAGATGCTCCCTTCAGTTGAATACAAAATGATCTTATACAAGCACTCCACATAAGGTTAATAGCTCTGCAGCCTATTATTTGTGATAGAGTTATCAGATTATGATTTTTTTTTTTGTTGCTTTCATGGGCTTTTAATATCCTTTCAATGAGGAAGTAACATACTGTGAACCGCAGCTGAGCAGAAATCGATGCTCTCAGTCACTAGTAAATGGAGCTCCATTGCTAAATGCTGCTGTTTCCGTCAGTGAAACAGCAGACAGTGCAATTCAAAAATTCATTGTCAGAGATTCATTGGTACATGTGCTGAACATGTCTAGCTACCAGTGGGTTGTCATTCACAGTAAAAGTCTTTGGGACCCAAGTCAAAATAGATGCAAATTATACACCAGTCTAATTGGGCCACATCTCACAGGTCTTGATGTAGAGTATCTAACACCCAAAGAGATCTGTATGGATCAGAGCGTACTATCAGCTCTTATCATGTGGTGCAGCATCAAAAGAGAGAGAAAATGTTTAGGGAAATCTTTTTTTTTTTTTTTTTTGCGGGGGGGGGGGGTCACAAATATAAAATTGGCTTGAAAATGATATCTTCTGTCAATCTATCACCCAGTTGGCTACAGAATTATTATTGCTGGTGCAGGAGGTGGAAATGGGACTCACCATATCAACAATTACTTTTGAAATGAGTTTCTGTGACTTTACATCTATTCTTTGCACATTATTATTAAATTTCTGCCTTCTTCAACAGGTGCTGGTGTGTGTAGTGTTAGTGCTGTCGGGGCAGCATGTCTTTCATATGTTGGTCTGCTGTGATCTGTCTGACGTTTGTCGCTTTGGCGACCAACTAACAATCTCTAATCTAATCTAATCTGTTTCTTGAGAATTTTTGCCCTCACTAACGTTACTGTATTTAGGCCGATATAGCCAGAAATATTTGGGGAATAAGGCATTGTATATTGGAGAAAAGCTGTGTGTACTTGTTTAAATTCTTTATGAGCTTGTATTTAATCTCACACCAGTTTGTACCTTTTGTGTGTTTGTGTGTGTGTGTGTGTGTGTGTGTGTGTGTGTGTGTGTGTGTGTGTGTGTGGGTGTGAGTGTGTGTGTGAGTGTGTGTGCGTGTGTGTGTGTGTGTGTGTGTGTGTGTGTGTGTGTGTGTACGTGTCTTCAAAATGAGAAATTCAGAGAAAGACAGCCATGTCATGGAAAGATTCAAGACAGAGATAAAAAACTAAATTAGAGCCAGAGACGAAGGGATCGTCACAGACATCAAATCAGACACAGGGACACAATCAGAGACCAAGACCGTTCCAGTTGTGTGTGTGCGTGTGTGTGTGTGTGTGAGAATGAGGATGTGCCAGATAGAAGGGGGATGGGGGAGGGATAGATATGATGATGAGGGAGAGGAGCTGTGCTGGTGCAGTAATGGTGTGCCCCACATCAGAAAGAGCTCTGCATTATTTAATGCTCTGCAGATTGCTCCGCCCTGTGCACCGTGAACCCCAATAGTGCATCAGAAGAACAGCCACAGATGTACAGACAACTGGGACTCAGGCTGAGGGCTAAATAATGAGGAAGCAGGAATTGTGTTAAGTGTGTGTCTGATGGGAATCTCCTCTGAAGAGGAGGCTGGCTTATTGGGAGGATATATGTCTTTACTCATTCCTTGAGAGAGACAAAGAGACAACTTGATTGAGATAAAACAAAGCTAGACAAAAAAACAAAGATAGAATAAACTTTATTATAGTACTTGAAACTACTTTACTGACATCTATTTTGGTGTTTTGTGTTTCCTGATGATAAGCTGCTGCAGAATTACTTTACTCAATGCTTCTGTGAACATTTCAGCATTTCAGTCACCTACACTATATGTGCTTTGAAAAGGGAGGATACAAACACATGCCCATATTAAACCATCACATGTCATGTAGTGCCTTTTAAGTGAGATTCTTCATCCCTACAAGCACCAGCAGCAGCTAGTCTGTGGGTCTGTGGTGGAGTGCGCGCTGCCAACTGACAGGAATGCATAAAAAAAAAAAAGCAAAATATTGATTAAGATTAATGTTTAAATCAAGCCCTTAATGAATATTACTGGAAAAAGACGGCTTAAAGCAGGGGTGTTATAATCACATGGTCGGTGTCTTAACTGCGATCTTTGCAGGACAAACGTCAGGACAAATGACTGATGTCACTAACTACACTATCTTGATCCCACTCTTGCACCAGTACTGCAATACTTTGTGTTATGTTAGTGAGTTAGTGAGGTGTTTCCTTACTTTACAACTCACATTTGAAGTAGAAGTGCTGTTTCCGGTTTATTGATGTTTTTGCAATTAAAGGAATAGTTCAGCATTTTGAGAAATATGCTTTCTAGTCTTTTATGCTAAGCTAAACTAACTCATTGGAAATTAGAAAGCAAAAAGGGATATTTCCCATAAATGTCAAATAATTTCCTTTAAATTGTAAAACGTGGGATCTTGCTGGTGTGTGCTGATTAAAAGGCACACAAGGCACAATAATACCTGTTTTATTACCCTGTCTTTCCTCATTATATCCACTTTCTGACGATTGCTTGATTATTATCATGGTCAAAATATTATAATATCAAATAGTAATTCAATTAGCATTTTTATTTTTTTACTGTTGTTGAGTAGATATCTGTGTTTGAATACAACACTGCCAAGCCATTTCTTTTCCTCTCCCACTTCTCTTGCCCTTCACTTAGCTACAACTGCAAGAAGAACAAAGATAAAATAGCCGTTTTAGATGCATGACTGACTTCTATTTCCTTTTTCGTTTTACACACGGTTCAAGAGTTTTCTTTATTTTCCTCATTTTTCTTCATCGAATGCGGTTCAACAACTATGAACTGACACCAGCTATGGTAGGCAGTTAATTTCGAATCAGAGACCCTCTCTGTTCTCATCCGACTTTGTGTCAGGCAGTCAGTCAGCTGGGAGTCGCAGTGATGGACTCATCACTGCTGGAATGGCTTTTTTTATTGGCTTTCTCTCTCATCATCTGGGTTCAATGCGCAGACGAAACAATCTGAATATCATCCACATGAAAGCCATATGTTGTGTTTATTGACCCAAATGATATTTCAGCCATGTTTGGTACTAATGCTAAACAATAATCCTCAATTTGTTTGTTCAAATGAAGCCGCAGCTGCTCAATGTTTTTGTCTTCAGCTACAGTGTATTCATCTTATGCAGTATTTTAAACATATAATTAAGAACTGAGAACACACCTGCTACATTTGAAGATACAGTTTCATCGCATCTGTGCAAAACCATGTGTAATTATCATGTGTAAAACAGCTGAATTTTCTGGCATACTCTTAGTTCATCGTTTCAGGGTCAAGAGACCTTTGTCTTCTTTTATTACAGTATCTATTTTGACTCTTTAAAATCGCAGCAGGTGTAAAATTGATGGAGCTACTTAAGATTCAATGATTCTGCAGTTAAAACTACCATTATCACTACAAGTGAACAGCTGATTTATATCTAAAACTTTTTCTTTATTGATCTTTACTGTAAATTACATTATAGTAATAATAAATAACAATATAACAACAAAAAGGCATACACAGCTCCACAATAATGAGTAAATGTCAAGAACAGATTGTAGATTGAAGCCTGAGCTTATTACACCCTCATCCTTATGACAAAACCAAAAGGGTCTGTGTACAATATACACTGGGTACAAGCTACACAGATTACTTATGCATACATGTATTCATACACACACATCCCTTCATATATGGCTTTGTGTTACTGTGTGTGCCAACACAGGTGCGTACACATGTACATATGACAACCAGAGAGGAAAAAAAGCAACAGATGTTTCTGCGAAAACCCCAAAACAAGATGTTGATGTTCAAGTGACAGAGCCCTCTAGTGGCTGGAGTACTTATGACGGGAGCAAAGGAGGAAGTCAGGTGATGTTATTATAGAATGATAAAGTTCACGTAGGGAGGAAGTCGGGCTTTGTCGACAGGTCTGTTTCCTGTTTTAAACTGACAGTCAAAACATTTGTTAATTTTACGCAGGTAAAGCTTAAGCTTTACCCTCTGACTCGAAGGACAGCCCTTGGCCTATTTCCTCTGATTGATTTGTAACAAAATCCATATTGGTTGTATGAATCTCACAATTTTGGGAATTGCTAAAAATAGGAATCAGTTTCAAGAGCCATTGTAAACAGGCACGGCATAAAGAAATGAAAATGAAATGTAATGGTTTTTGTGTCAGGTTTTCATAACCACCACTGGTTTGTTTTTGGTGCAGATTAAAGAGAAGAGTGAGAGAGTGATGAATAAAGAAACAAGTACATCACTGGCATTTTGAACAGCCTAGTGCATACTTTTAAGTAGGAATAATATATGCACATGCTCACTGGCACACACACACACACACACACACACACACACACACATACATACACACACACACACACACACAGTGCCTTCCTAGTTGCCTAGGGATGCGTACGTTGCCAGGCAACAAGGTGGTGTCCTAGAAAAAAGTTCCAATGCTGTAAAACACAGAGTTGGATGCGGGTTCAAGACAATCACTATTGATCACAGTTAATGGTTTCACTGTACTCCGCTCAAGTGACGTTTGATTTCTATTTCAGTCCTTTCCTGCAGTGACCACAGACTCATGTTTCATATGTTGATGATAAAGCTTTTCTTTATCTTGTGGGAGTTACATGAGCCTCGTATGTGTGCGTAGTATCATGTGGTTACTGAAGGACTGTACTATTAATATAAATTTGTACTCTACATGAGTATTTTGTTTTCACGCCACTTTATATTTCTTAGTACTTATATTGTATTTGTTACAACACCTTTAGTCACTGGTTGCTTCACAAATTGAGATAAGAGAAAATTAATTTGTAACTTATTTCTGAAATTGTTTATGTCATTTTTCATATGTGGCTCAATCAATCAATCAATCAATCAATCAATCAATTTATCGAGCAGAAGATTCATTTATACAGGATATAAACTATATGAAAGAATTAAAACTTAGCTCCACTTCAACCAACTACAGCAGTAAACTGCTGTTTACACATTATAGTATGACTAATAATTTAATGATATATAATACAATAACACTGTATAATATTATATAATAATAGTAAAAATACTCCATTAATCCTGCAGTCAAAATGTCACTTAGTAAGTAAAGTGTGACAGTATTATTGGAAAAACATACTTAAAGTAGAAAAATAAATTACTCACTGTCTGTGTCATATTATACTATTGGATTGTTATTATTGATGCGGGAACATAAAAAAAATCTTATTCTAAAGATGAACAACAACCTATGGCTGCCAAATAAATATAGCGGAGTAAAGTAGCATAAAATTAACATACTCAAGCGTTTATAAATCTCAGCTGCAGAGTACTCTCACTTACTTCCCTCCAGGGGGTTTGTATAAACAATGTTTCACTGTTTATCTGTCATCAGTACTTGGCTGTATGCAGGGGTTTATTAGGAAGTTGATGAGAGTGGATTAGCATCCCCTTTGTTAGCAAAAATTATTCAGAGTGTTTTTATTCATACATGATAGTGTTGAATAGAAAATAAAGTAAGTCCGCCCCCTTTACTGGGTAAAAACACTCACTGCAATGCTTGTAGTGTGTCAGATAACCATCTGGCTGGAGGTCACTTCATATCCACTCTGCTCTGCCTGGTCTGAACACAGAAGCACTCCAGCTACAGCACTCTGACATACTGAAGAGAGCAACTGTTCTATTAAAAACATTATCAAGGCTGCGTAATATGCAGGACCCATGAATTTAGTGCACCACATGTTTGCCTGTTTAGTCTCTAAGTGCTTTAAATCTCTTTTATTGTATGTAGAACCTAACTGATTATTTTCTTTATCGCAGAAATAGATGAAGATCGTCTCCCAAACCAGCTGTACAAGGTAATCTAATCCATGTTGTATTACAGAAATAAGATTACAGAAACAGAATTATGTGAATTCTGTTTTTTCTTTTCTTTTTTTTTTTAATCAACTCTATCTCTATTCAAACAATCTTTTCCATCTTGGTGCTCACAGGCAGCCTTGTTGAACTCCCCTCGACAACGGCGAAAAGGGCAAAAAGGAACTCCTACAATGAAAGGTAGTGTTGGTTATCAGTCTTGTCATTATTCTTTATGTGACGTTGGCATTTAATGTGTGAGTTCACACTGTTGGCACCCGTGAAACAGTAAATGTCTAAACTTTTGCTGCTGTTCCTAAAATAGCCTATCTAAGAAGACAAGGAAAAACACCTGAAAACAAAAATGTCCACAAGCCATTGGAGGGAAAATTGGAGAAAATGTCACAAGACATAATTCAAACAAAGAGCATAATTCAAACAGTCAAGAAAAGGAAAATTACAAAAAAATACACATAAAGTTGTAGCAGTCACTAATAAATCAGAACATAAGGGTGTTGTATCAAAAAATCTATGTAATATATTTCCTAAAAGGAATGTAATAAATCAAACATAAGATAATCAGCGGTTACAATGAAAACATCCAATTAAATAAGTTAAAACGATCGGTTCACATTTCAAGTCTTACTTAAAACAACAGTTGCACGCCCATGTTTACACTGAAACAGTTTGTGTTCACTATGAACAGTATTTTTAGAGTGACCGTGTTTCTATCCCTCTATCGCAGCTCACCGAGAAAACACTGTCTGGGAAATGTACGAGTGTGAGACTGTAACTGTGATAACCACTTAATCTTGACAACTCAGACTGCTGAAGCTTCACACAAACTTTATAATACAGTTTTGCACAGAAAAAGGGCTCTGGATTTTGTCCCCCTATCACTTACACTTTATTTATGTAAGAAAGTGATCTTTTCAGGGCCGTATGAACAGGAGGAGTGATTACAGAAACCAAAGAATGTGTCATTGTGAATAAATATACGTGTAGGCTTGTCAGGATTGTTTGAAAACTGTGATTGGTTGAAAAATGTCAACCTATCCTTTAATTGGATAAAGCTATTTGTATGTCCAGTTTCCAGTCCTGGATATCAAATTTCAGCTACCTTGAATTTACTTGGTGAGCTAGCTAAGCTAATGATGGAAGTTTGCTCTGCCTTCAGTGTCCCATGTCAACCTCAGAGCCAATCAGGGCTGCACTTGCCACAGCGAGGACTCATTATCTCGTATTTTCTGACCAGAATTCCTCTCAGTTTTCATTTTTTGAGCTGAAAGAAGGATCCATGTGAGATTAGGTCCTGCACCACCTAAGGAGCTGCAGTGTTCCAGCACCTGATATTTCTGTAGGTTGGTTTTTGTCACAGCGGTGCAACTCCAATCCTACTTTACTAAGTGTACAAATGTAAACGTTTTGTGGAGAGTGCATGCAATAAAAACAGAATCATTCCCAACAAAGAAACTGAAGCAATTGAGCAATAATGAGAAGTGAAGAGAGTGAAATTTGGAGCTCTAGGATGTTTATACTTCAATTAGTTTCAGAGCTAAACAGCTCTAAGTGTGATGAGTCACTGCTCGGAGAAAACCCAGGCAATAATCAGTGTGCTTTAGTTTCCCACTACAGGGGGATTAAAAGTAATAAAATCATTGGATGAAGGAGGTCGAAAAAAAAAGGTGATTAAACTAATCATCTCCAAGCTCTGATGCATCTTTACTTGCCCCCTCAGCCCAAACAGAGCAGGTTGTTAATTCAATCTCCCTAATTTATTAAAAATGCTTAACCTACAGTTAAGTGGTGGGTTTCTTGTTGAATCTCCACCTACACGCTCGCCCTCCGCCCATCTTTCTCTCCTGTTTACTGTTCATAATGCCTCTCTCCCATTGGTTCCCTTCATCTCACGCCACTTTTTTTTTTTCTTGCTTGTCCTCCTTCTCCCTCCATCTCCCCAATGAGTTCACGCTTTTTACTCTCCACTTTAACTTCACTGTTCCTTCCAATCCACTCTCCCCCCTCTCGTCTTTTCTCTCCCCTTCTCTGTTAACTCTTCCCTCCTAACCAACTTTACTTCCCCTCCCTTTCCATCTTCTCTTCCCTGCTTCTCTTTCACCTCTCCGATCTCCACCTCCCTCCTCTCAGAGCTGCAGTTCATGGTGGAGCACCACCTGTACAGGCAGCAGCAGGGAGCTGGGGACGAGTGCTCCTCAGAGAGCTGCCTGTCAGACCGGCCCAGCCCTGACTCTGTTCCCACCGGGGAGGAGCTCCCACACGACGACGAGGCCACTGCGGAGGCCTTTGAGAAACTGCGCTGCCAAATGGAGGGTATGTCTGGAGAGGATTTCATTTGGATGCTTGCAGTGTGGCTGCCTGCTCAGCTACACGACCCTCCTTGAAAATCTACTACTGACTTTGGCACAGAGGAAATCAGGTCACGATTTTCCTCTAGGCAGTCTTAACTGATCATAGATGTAAGGGTGAGGAACTGTCTGGCTGGACTTGTCAAATGACATTTCTGCGTGGAGGATGAACTCGCCACCTTCACTTAAGTGAAAGCACCAACACAAAAATGTAAAAATGCTCCATTATAAGTAAAGACCCTACATTCAGATTTCTAGTAAAACTGTTTAAAAAAAAGTATAAATGGGAAAATATACTTGGTAAAAAGGGTGTAGCTAGTTTTAATACAGTTAGCTAATATAGCCCAGTGGTATCCAGCCTGAGGGTCTTATCCCACCAGTGGGTAAAGATGCTGTAAACCTGAGTGGTTGTGAGATGATTAATAAGGCAGAGAAGAAGTTGTTCTGCAGTTCTGCATTGCTGTTATGTAAAAAGGAGAAATGAAGAAAACATTTGTAAGGGGTCACAAGCCAAAAAGGTTGAGGACCACTGGTTTACTCTGTAAAAAAAAGTGCTGTATTTAGTTTTTAATGTAAAATCTTAATCTGAAAAGTAACTTGTAACTATAGCTGTAATGTAGTAGAGTAAAAAGTACAATATTTCCCTCTGAAATGTAATAAAGTAAAAGTATAATGTAGCATTAAACGGAAATACTCAGCAGTACCTCAGGATTGTACTGAAGTACGGTAAGTGAGTAAATGCACTTTCCACTTCTGCATTTCAATCATTGTAAGCTGACAATAGGTACAGTATAAAGAACTCAAATGAATGTGTGAAGAGGGCCAAAAGGGAGTGTGCAAGAACATGTCTAGCTCAAGAAAAGATGTAGAAAAAGATTGAATGGATGGACACAAGAGGGAAGGAAGGACATACGAATGTCTCTGCTGTGGCCTCTGAAAAATGGATGATGTGGTACCACAAGAAGCAGAGAGCAGATGGAGGGCTGAGGAAAGAGGAAAGAGGGGAAGGGGGAGATGCATAAGTGTATTAAAGAAGAAGAGTGAAGCCAAAAACAGCCTATTAACATGAGGGGAGGGTGTAGAATTAAGAGAAGAGGATAAAAGTAGAATGAGGTAGGAAGCATGAAAATGGCTGGAAAGGATGTGTGTGAATGCTCGATAGGGTTAAGGAAAAAGAGGGGGTAGAGGATAAGTGAAACAAAGGGATTGGAGGAGGGCATAGAAAGAAATGCTTCAAGCAATTGTCAGATATTTTAGGAAATACACTTATTTTCTTTCTTTTTGAGAGAAGATCCACACCATTCTCATTCTAAATCTGTAGCTTGAGCAAGCAGCTGGTTAGCTTAGCTTAGCATAAAGACTGGAAACGGGAAACTGGAAACAGTAGCCCACATAAAATGCTGGATACAAATTTTTACACCTTGGTTTCTGCAAAGATATAATGTATTATTAATTGAGCTGTATTAGTGTTGGTAGGTATATTTTATTTCCTTTGGATAGAGCCAGGCTAGCAGTTTCCTCTCTTCATGCTAAGCTAAGCTAACCTGCTCCAGGCTCAAGCCACATACTTGGAGGGAGAGTTTTATTGATTTTCTCATCAAACTCTCAACAAGGAAGCAAATAAGCGTATTTCCTAAAATTCCTTAAACTAATCCTTTAATGAAAAAGCGTATATACTGTCAAAGTGCTTCGGCAGATTCTGTCTCCTCTCTGTGCCAGATACTTTACATCTAATAACAAAAAACTGAGGTCAGCTTTTCAGCTCATAATTCACTGTAATAGCAGGCAAAGAGATGGTCACAGAGTGCAGCACATACTGTTCACTTTGCCCAGGACTAATGCATCATGAGTGGACAGGGCTGTTTTTCTGAAGCAATAGCACCAGAACGCCAACATTACATTTTTGTAAATGTTATAGTTCCATTTTAATTCACTGGGACACTTATTTTTTTTGTGGTTTAAAACCTTGAAAAAAAGGTGCTGCTTTTGTTAGGATTCCTCATATGTTATAGGGGAGCAGCAAATTAAGTCCTCTGTCCAGATGAAAAGAGCAAAGAGGAAGCTAGGGGAAACAAATCAATGACCATTAACACCAGTCCAGTCGAGTGTGGCTTCACTGAAAGATCAGCCCTTTGAATTCTCTCAGCACGAGTGAATAAATACAGCTGTAAATGTCATGTGGCACCGATTGATGATTCGTGGTGGACTAGTTCTGTATTCTAATATAAATCAACAATGAATATCGAACTAGAGCATTTTACTGTATGATGAAGAGATTTGCTTCATTTCTCTGTGGTTTTTTACTGTATATGAGTCACTATCTTCACCTCCATTGCTTCCTCTGTTTGTATCTCTGCCCCCTGCAGAGTTCTCCAGGGAGAGTCTATTAGAGGCTGCAGGTGGACTCGAGCACCCCCCCTCCAAGGAGAAAGAGGATTGTTCCAATGTAGCAGATCCTTCGTCGCAACAAAACAACACACAAGCAGGTACATCAGAATATAAAGAGCCACAGTTATCCAGGAATCGTTTCCCTCTCACATCTCCCTCAGGGGTCCATCAGGGGTCCCTCAAGGGACCCTTAATTATCCATCCAGTTTATTTAGATATGTTAAACAGTTTCACTGGCTTGGTGTCATGTAATCATGGCTCATAAACAAACATCTGTGAAGGGGCTTTGATCAGCACTTCACAGAGCGCCGCCATGGCTGGAATACCCTGGGAGGTATGAAAGTGGAAAAATTTGTTTGTGTGTGTGTGTGTGTGTGTTTTGGTGAGGTCTTTACTGTAGATTTTTCTTCCTACATTTCTTTCTTTCTCTATATCACTGATCTGTGTGGACCTATTAATCGTGAAAATTGTGTTTATTGTAAGACTAACCACTTGTAACTACTTGTTAACACTGTTAAAGCATATGTATATGTATGCAGTTCATTTAGAAAGTGTTCAGACCTCTTCGATTTTTTCACATTTTGTTATGTTGCAGCCTTATGCTAAAATAAAAAAAAAAAATCCTTTATCAATCTGCACTCAATACCAAATAATGACAAACTGAAATATCAGATTGACATAAGTATTCAGACCCTTTGTTCTGACACTTGAAATTTAGCTCTTCCTCCTATTCTCTTGATCATCTGTGAAATGTTTCTACACCTTGATTGGAGCACACCTGTGGTCAATTCAGTTGATTGGACCTGATTTGGAAAGGCACACACCTGTGTGTGTGTGTGTGTGTGTGTGTGTGTGTGTGTGTGTGTGTGTGTGTGTGTGTGTGTGTGTGTGTGTGTGTGTTTGAGGCACAGATTTTGGGAAGTCTACAAAAAAGATTTCTGCTGTATTGAAGGTTCCCAAGAGCACAATGGCCCCCATAATTCTTAAATGGAAGAAGTTTAAACAACCAGGACTCTTCCTAGAAGTGGCTACCCAGCCAAACTGAGCAGTTGGGGAAGAATGGGACCAAGAACCCGACATTCACTTTGGCTGAGCCGTGGAGATCCTGTGTGGAGATGGGAGAAATTTACAGAACAAGTACTGAGTAAAGGGTCTGAATACTTTACTTTATGTCAATGTGATATTTCAGTTTCTCCCTTTTTAATAAATTAGCAAAACTTTCAAAAATTCAGTTTTCATTTTTCTGGGGTATTGAATACAGATTGATGAGGGAAAAAAATTCTTCTTATTATTTTTTTCTTTAGTTGGAATGTAGGAATTCCATCTTCAGGTGGCGTTTTAGTTGAAATTTCTAAATGGGAACTCGGCATTTCCGACTTCCCAGTCGAAATAGAACGCACCATGAGATCAGTCAGAGGTTGAGCTAAACACAAACACACACAGGCAGACTCCCACAGCCACAGTCAGAGCGTTAATTTCTAGCTAGCTACAACTAACAACTACTAACTGTGCTGTGCAGCTGTTATGTGTTGGCTGTTTGGGGCAAATAAACACAAATTATGCAGTGGTCAAATTTGCACATATAACACTGGGCAAAACTTTGCTTCGCTTTCTGTCGGAGGATCCTTTGTTGACTTTAAACTTTTTCTCAGACATAGAATCTCTAACACTGCTGGCTTCATCTAGTGTTAAAGTAAACACATACAGCATATGCTTGTTACCTAAATGTTCAATTAATCAGACATGAGATACATGGAAATAGCCACACTTTTCATGCAATATTTCCCAGCAGGTCCACACAAGACGATATATCAACATTAACAATGTGATTTCTGCTGTGTGCGAAGTTATAAAAAAGTTTACTGAGAGTGTTATTGTCGATTTTTACGTTAAAGTGACTTGGACACTGATTCAAACATGAAACCGACCATCATATTTACACAACGAACGCATGTCTGAAAGGGGTTTAAGAGATCATGACAGACTTTTGTTATGTCGCAGCCCAGATAAGCTTCGTCAGAACATTACTATACCTTCATAACAGAAAATACAAAACGCTAATGAGTGAATTACAGAATTTCTCTCTGGCTTCCCGTCTAACCGTCCACCACTTGCACTGTAAAGCCAAATGGAATAATGAATATAATGGCCTTTGTTTCTATGTGGTTAAAAACAAAGTAATTTTCTTTTCCTTTGGAGAAACAACCGTCCCCTACATTGGTTACCAAATTTGTATTTATTGTTGGGCTGTGAGAGACCATTAAAAAATCTCTCATGCCAGCCTCCTCTCTCTCTTACTGTCCCTCAGTCTTTTATGTCTCTGTCTATATTTTGCAGACACAAAAGCTGCAGCATCCACTGCGAGTCAGCCGGCAGAGGAAAAGACAAAGAAATGCAGCCAAGAGAAGGAGAAATAGAGTTTTCCTCTGTACAACACAATGCTGCTCAGTCTGCTCAGCCAGCCCAACACAATGACAGAAGATTGTGTCTGCAGATCCACTTTTTAGAAACATCAGGGCATATAGTATATTCCTCTACAGTCAGGCCTTAGTTACCACCTTGAGAACAAGAACAAAGGTTTCTACACTTATTTTGTGTCAAAAATCCTGCGTAAAGGGACGATTATTTAATTATTTTTGTTTTTTATTGCTTCCCCTGCGCTCACCTAAAACTAAAACTAGCCTACTGTATGTATGAACCAGACTGGGAGTTAATATCTAGTTAATGGGACACAGTCTTTTCCTGTCTCTGTCACCCAATCATTATCATAAACCACCACAACTCACATGCTTAATGTCTCTTTTAATGTTCAAAGGCAACAAATATTCTATCTGCAATCCTTTTAGGCAATTTTCCTCATTAAATATGTGCCATGACTTCTGCAATGATCGTTCCATCTCAGAGCAATAAAAATGAATTTGTACCTCATAAATAACTTGGACTGAAACCATCTTTTTAAATTCAAATGTCATCACTTAGGCCCCGTATATTTGGGTTGACTGACAGTTTAAATCCTCAAATATATGTTTACACTACTAGATTGGACATCTACAAATGCATTCTTAAAGTCCAACTGAAATTAACTACATCTTTTTTTCTGTTAAAGTATATACAGCTGCAACAAATGAATTTATTAGTCGATCAGCCGGAAATTAATTGGCAAGTATTTTGATAATCGATTTAATAAAAAAAAAAAAAAAAACATAATTCTCTGGTTTTAGTTTCTGCAAAGTGATCTGTTTGCTTTAGTCCGTCACAGCTATAAACGTAATATTTTTGGGTTATTGAACAAAACAAGACGTGAAGATGTCATGTTGAATTCTGGGAAACTGTGAGGGAGATTTTCAGCTATTTTCTGACATTTTACAGACAAATTGTTTAATGGAAATAATCAGTAATAATTTGCAGATTCATCACTAATGAAAATAATCATCAGTTGCAGCAATAACAGCACACATGTATGCAGAAACCAAAATGGAGAGATTTATATATATATATATATATATATATATTTATTTTTTGTTTGTTTTGTTTCATCATAACACCCCTGATTTTAGCATTTTTACTTCTTTGTGCATGTTATGGCCTACATTGATGGAGAGCTTGCCTCCATACAGCCAATCATGCTTCATTTGAAACCATATTTGCATAAAGCAGTAACCTAACTGTTCTATCATGGCCAGTTAGTCAGAGACAATAGTCAGACAGCAGCCTGCTACACAATATGAGACACAGACTTTGAACAACTAAAGTCCATCAAACTTGCAAACACTCTCCTGCACCTTGTCTTGTTGGACGAGCGACCCAACAAACATTCACCAGGGGACAACAATCAGCTTGCAAATTAGCTGCACAGCTGCAGCACATTAAACAGCATGTTAACGAACCTACAGATGTCACTTCAGTCTTGTTAGATGCTGGTGTGATCTTTACTCTTGAGTACCACGAACAACACACCGTCTGCCCATGACTTCCAAACTATAGTGTAGGTTTGTTTGTCTCTCCTTGTCCTGCCAGAGGAAAATCTACCAGCTGCTGTCAGTCACTCACAAACACAGACACACCCCCAGCTGCTGAGAGGAAAAGGAGTATTTCTGATCTTTTCCCAAGACCTTTTTTTTTTATTACTTAGCTTACTATAGTTACGTATAAAAAACATATTGACAGTAAAAAGTTGTTGACATTATTTTGACCATAAAGAGGGATAGCTATATGTGATTTCAGTTGGACTTTATTACTTTTATTAATGGTAATATCTCAATTAACAATAATGATGTCACGTCTAGTTACAGTAACGCACTGAAAACCAGACTTTTACCAGCCGAACCACGTGGTTGTGAATCCCTGGTTAACTAGCAAATGTGTCTAAATGGATAAATCCACGTCCAGTGAGCTTCATATTCAAAAAAACCCATGTTTTTGACACTTGAATGCTTCTGGAAATCGAAATCCTGATCATAAAACACTCTCTTGCATGGTACTGATTGTACAGTGACGTTTTCCTAAGCCCAAGGTCTTTGTTGTGATTCATTTTGAATGGGAATTAATTTAAACATTTTAAATACCAGACACAAACTGTAACTACTGGCATTCCCTTTTGATTCTAGTTTTGTCTGCAACAAGAACATCACCATCAAAGTCATCACCACACTATTCCAGTAAACGTTGGTCATCTCATCAGCTCATTTGTATCACTGAAGTTAATGTAGATTATGTGACAATCCTTCCATAAACTTCACCTTCATCTCGACATGTGTGAATGAAGTGAAACAAAACAAAAGAATAAAACTGAAACAGAAAACTGAAGCCACCCTAGTATTGATGTCACTTTAGCAGATTATTTAGCCACACTATGAGCAGTTCATCTACCAGCTGCCAACAATGACCACTATGTCCACAATGAACAAGACAAACGGTAAAACATTCCTGTGCAAGCTTTCGTTTATTTCTTCTGCAGTGTATTTATGGACCACGTAATGTTTGTTCTGTTTTTGGTAATAGTGTATTTACATGATTTAAATCTGGGGAGTTTTTTGTTCCAATTTTACTTGAATTGATTGATGATTACATCTGTAATCTAAATTTGTTTGATACAATAAAATGTTTAAATTGGTGATTGGGTGTTTTTCCTTCACACCAGTCCAAGCTTCAGGATTTACTTTCCTTTTTTAAAAGTAGAAGAGGTATCGAGTTAAACCAACAGTGTCTGACCTCATTGCACCACTGGTCATGTGTTTAGCTGAGGTTCACTTTGACTATATCCTAAAAATAGGCACGCTGTCAATAAATAATTCAACATACTCAGTGCAGGGAGCATAAAGACACATACATTTTTTATAAACAGAACTGTTTTTTACAAATAACTCTGCAGCAATTTAAGCTACATGTCTTATCCATGCAGGCATTTCCAGTTGCCTTTTGAGGTACTGTAGCCTCAGTGAGCTTGATCACTTCTAGTGCAAATTTTTGCTGTGAAAGCAAGTTGCCATCATCATCTGAGGTGGAGATGCTGTGTTATCCTTTGAGAGTAAAACCCAAAGTTGATGTTTTGATCAATTTTCTATACCACTCTGATCTTGTAATTATTAATTTGGCTCAGGGGAACATATTGAGTATCTTAAAAAAAAAATACAGGACATCCTGAGCATCTTCTGCTTTTGTGCTGGGATACTGCAAATACATGCACACACAAAAAGACACACAATAAATGTCATCCCTGTTTTGTATAATGCATTTTCCTCATCACTATGTATGCGTTTGTGTGTGTTGGGGGTTGGGGGTTGGGTTACAACTGTGTGAGCACTGCATGCACACCTTAGATCACACGTATTTTTCTTATGTTCACTGTGATATGGAGCAGCTTCATTTTGTCTCCTCTGCCCTAAAATGAGGAAAGCTGAGGATGTACTTGTAAACTGCTTAACTGACAACTGTGAGAGTCAGAAACTGGGTTTGAAGCTGAGGCCTCTGGGCTCCCCTGGAGCCAATTGTTTCACTTCGCTCTACAGCCCCTCCTGCTGGGAGAGCAGAGAACTGAAATTTTTTTACTGTGCATGTTAAAATCAAATGAGGATCTAAAAAAACAAGTTTAAAAGGTGCATATTGGAAGAGTAGGGTCAAGGTTTTGGTTGGATTTGAAACTTGAGCCATATATTAAGGACTAAAAGTCAGAAAATATTGACCTCTGCTGCATCAGTCCCCCAACCTTATACTCCTTTACATGCTCAGTTAAATTTTCTGTAAGTTTTAGCTCCTAATATGAGAGTCTTGATGCTGTGTTAAGAGTTACTAATGTGTTGGAGCTATATTAAAATCATATATTTTCTTATAAGCCATGTGAATGATGCTTCCATTGTCCTGCTATGATTAAGAAGCAGACATGGATATACTTTAGCAGGTCATGACAGGACAATGGGCTTTTGGTGGAGACACACTGCCTGCCTCTTTCACAAGCAGGCTCCAGTTGCTTACTCAAAGAGCAACTAAATCTGACTTTATGAATCTGAACAGGAGTAAACATGGCTAAATAAACTTCAAACTGCTTCAAGTGGTTTTTAAAAAAGCAGATCACATTAGAACTAAAATTACCGCTTTGCGATTAGGATCTTTGATCTTGAATCCTTTAAATGTTTCAGTGAAAAACTAAAAAGCATGATCTCCTACAACATCAAAGCCAGCCTTATAATGAATCAATACGAAGCAGCACGTATGACAAACACTCACAGATTTTCAATGTTTATTGCAAGGTTAAATGATTTGTGTACAGTTCAAACTATAAAAGTGTTTAGGTGGCAAATTAAATTAATAACATGGACTATACTGTATAACATGGCCAGCATGTACACTTTGCATTTAAATTAGCATAGTATACTACACTTGAAATAAAACATGAGGACATATCTCTGATTACACGGCATCTTACCTTGGGAAGATGATCTTAACCCTAACCCCCCTCCCCACCCCACCCACCCCTCCCCCGATCTCGCTGTCATAATATAAGAAGGCATTGTGGTTTTGTTACAAACAGTGACCCAATGTTAAAAAGCACATATCACAAATGAAGACCTACTACTACTACTACTGTCTACTGGTTTGTATCTGTGCTGGGGTCTTGCAGGGATTTTTCTGACAGCTCCTCTTGTCTGGACCTCTGTTCTTTTGTCAGTCTGGGGTCTGAAAATCCTGAGGGATAAAGAATATTGGAATAGGCATTGGAAAATTTTGTTAAGCCGAAAGGGAAACAATATCTGTATCTGTTAATCACCTCATGAGATCACTCTGAAATGAATGTAGATAACAAATCAAATCAAGGAGACTGAGCACATTTATGGAGTTAAGTGGCTTTGTTCCTGCCAATTCAGTCACTTATCTCAAAATAAAAAAGGTTTTTTAATCCGTGTGAGCAGGGGTTGTCAAACATTTCATAGGTGATCATTTTAAGTTAGAAGTATTAAACCAGTACAAAAGATGACAGAAGAAAAGTATAAAAATGTTCAAGACTGCTATGTTGTAAGAATTTCTTAAAATAGTGTCGACCTCTAAATCCTGAGAACAGAACATCAGCACAATTAGTGTGGGTCTTAGATTTCACTCTGTAATAGATTTATTCTGTGGTGAGGCACTCTATGTTAAGATCCCATGAAGGTTTTGTTCACTCATTTTACACAGGGCATTCTGAGCATTAAATGAATTAACATACTGTGTTACGTACCATTGGAGCCACTCTCCTTCCATTTGAGCTTGTTGTCTTCGGTGTGTCGTGTCCACGTGGAGCGGAAACTCACCAGCTCAGCTGTGATGTGAGCGAGACTCCACTGCAGACCTCTGGAGCTCTCCTTCCAAAGATTACTATTGAGAAATGATAGGTTGCCGTCATACCAAGACATTTTCATTTTTGTACTTTCCCTTTTCACCTTTTCTTTTTTTCATAAATATATATATATATATTTCTTTATTTTCTTGCTAATTTGTTCTCAGTGAGGTTCAGATAATTGTAAGTCCCTCTATAACATTCTTGTTTTTACCGAAAGATTTAAGTGTCTTTTAAAGGAAAAGTTTGACATTTTGGGAAACTGAATTGTTCGCTTTCTTGCAAATTTGGATGAGAAGATTGATATCACTCTCATATGTTTGATAAATTTGAAGTTACAGCCAGAAGCCAGTTAGCTTAGCACCGACACCCGGAAACAGGGGGAACAGCTCGTCTGACTGTCTGGTGGTAACAAAATCCATACCAGCACCTCCAAAGCTCACTAATTAGGACATTATATCTTATCTGTACAAAAACCAATGTGTAAAAACAACAATTTGTGGTTGTTGGTACTATTCAATGCCAAGCAACTGGCAAAGTCTCCAGGAACATCTCCTGGCCATAAAAATAATCCCCCACATTACTCCTGTAAAATCACAAATTATTGTCTTTACACTACTACCAAGTTAATTAGTGAGCCTTAGATGTGGTGAAAGGCAGATTATCTTTTGACAAAAGCCAGGCTGTTGTTTCCCCTTGTTTTCAGTCTTTATGCTAAGATAAGCTAAGCTAACTGGCTGCTGGCTGTAGCGTCATATTTAACAGACAGATATCAAACTCCTGGCAAGAAAGTGAATATGTGAATTTCCCAAAATATATAATATTTCCTTTTAGCACTCTGGTGTTAGCCTTGAGTTGTGTTAGCCTGTACCCCTTCATTCAGTACCATAACCATAAATTCCAACATGTATCACTGTGGTACATGCCCTGTCTTTGTGTATACCTGTGTCTGTTACATGGGTCTGGTGGACCTGGATTCTCCTCCACCAAAGGAATGACGATCTTTTCAGCCATGTCCGTCAGCAGAGAGAATGTAGGATACACAATGAAGTCTATGAAACCTGCAAGAGTAAACACTGGCACATCAGCATGTGAAAATCAGATGTTTCTGAGCTATAAAAATGTAAATTTCCCAATGCAATTTCTTTTGCAATAAGAAAGAAACTCAAATACAGTTCAATAATCTTAGCAATAAGGTGTAAAAGGTCATATTATGCAGTACTGAACATAAATCAACATAAAGCTTGTCACTGAGTGGCTTATTGGATTCAAAGAGAAGGGAAAGAGAAGAAAGTGCAATTATGAAAGGTGAGTTTTAGCTATAATACAATACAACTAGCTGCAATTTCATGTCTTCACAGGAAGAAATTGTTTTTTGGAAAGTGTTTTGTGAGACATACCAATCTGGGACTCAGCTACCAGGGTGCTTTTTCGATCACACAGAGGAGAGAAGGGCAGGCCGAGCTCCGCCTCTCTATCACCCTCACAAAGATAGAAAGAGAGAGAGAAGATATCTTAAAGGGCATCCCACACATCGCCTGAAAATAACTTTTTAAAGGTTGTTTTATTATATCACTCATAACCTGAGACTTTAAGATTGTTCAAAAAAAACAACAACATGCAACTGCTTTTGTTTTTTTGTTTTTTAAAGTAACACAACACACATTAAGAGGTTTTTCAGAGGGAGGTTTCTCACATCTTATTTTCAAAGAGAGCAGGGCTGCTCAACACCTCCTCTATTCTTTTTTTTTCAAATCCAGGCAGTGAAAATAGAGGACACACAGAGAGGAGATGACAGTTATAGCAAGTTATTTCTACATTTACTGGAAACCCACTCAGTTAATGTACCAACCACTCAATACCTGCCAATTTTTTCACTGCTTTTTGGCAAGGCTCAGTGGGCTTTTACTTGAAAATGGCATTTTAAATAGGTTGTAAGAAGGATGATTAACGGTTTTCTTCTTACAGTAACTCAAAACAAGTCCTCCAACCTAAATGTCCATTTTAGTCATTTGTCACTACCCTCGCAAACAACCTAAATAACGACAAGTGTACCTGACCTTCATCGTCATGGTAGGCTGTCGAATAGTCACGGTCTTGTTAGGTTAAGGCTTGGTTAGTTTTAGGAGGAGATCGTGGTTTGGGTTAAAATAAGAACTTCCTCAAAGTTAGAGGACCAGCGTCGTCATGGTTACAATAAAAATGTTACAAACGGCTTCACCATCACTGTGGATTATTTGCACGTGTGGTAACAAAATCGCAATAAAAAACATGAACCCTAACCCAAACATCAAATAAAATCATTTCCATTAATACTGAATAGAATTATCAAAATAATAAAATTCCCAGTCCTTTCTAATACTATGCATATAATAATAAACTCATCAAACCCTATCACTCGTCAGTTTTGGCTCTTAATTCTGTTTCCAAGGCTAAGATCAACTTTTGAACCTCAGTTAGACAAAATAATCATCAACATCAAAGGTTATACTTTGGCCATCCTCCTCACCTTTTTGCCTAAATTGTTTGGTTACATATTTACATATGGTTCCCAAAGGTCAAAAATAAACAACATCATTTCAACAACATCAAATGGTTTATCTGATCAATTCTCAGCAGATATTTTCCAGACTTAAATCTGAATAAAACTTAGTCTTCTAAGATAAGACTGTCTCTCCTTCATACCTTAGGTGGTATTTATGTCGTTTTCTTTAGCTCCGACGTAAGAAACTCTTTGAAGGCTCCCATTCTCGCTTTCAGACTCCGATGAGTCATTTACAAAACTGTTATTAGGTGTCCAACTTTTTGACTTATCAATTCTCAAGATAAGTCAAGATAATAAGAGATCAAACCAGTCAGATAAGATTAGAAGTAGGTAGGACCTGAAAGAACGGCAGAGTAGAAATGATCTGAACATACTGTATCTGCAGAGAAGACAAAGATTTTCTTTACCGTTAGATTTAAGATCTAACATCCATACTTGGATGGAAAGACCATCTAGTACCCTCTTTTTTCTGTGTCTGTATTCATCGTCATATTTTCTGTTAATGTTATGCACCTACATGATGGTCTAAATGAAACTCTTCTCTTTTTTTTACATGTACATGTATTCATTTCATTCATCCGAGAAACAGTAGATGATCAAAAAGGCCCTTTCAGAATAAGTGCCTCAACATTCAGTCCCACCTTCTGAGAAAGATAAAAAGCATATTAGCTGAGTGACTGCTCTCGGAAGAGGTAGGTCTAAAGTGATTTTAGAAGATGCGAAATCCAATATATTTACACTTTGGTTTTAATGTATGAATTAAAGAAACACAATGTAATGTGTCAGTTGGTGCGCTGTGAGATGCTGGTAGGAGCCAGGCTCGCTGTTCCCCCCAGCTTCTAGTGTTAATGCTAAGCTAACCAGCTGCTGACTCCAGCTACTGCACCGAAAATTTTGAACTATTCCTTCACCCAAGATGAACAATTATGCGCTGTGGCATTCCAACTTGTTTTCTGTTGTGTTTGAGAAAAGAAAAAAGAAAAGAAAAGAAAAGAAAAAGATGAAACAGTCGCATTGACAGTTCAGGTCTATTAGAGTTCCTACCTGTCTGAAGAACTCCTCCATCAGGGCTTTGGTCCAGCGAGAGTGCAGGGCCCAGGGCTTGGACGGATGGCTTATATCAGCCGTGTGAAGTAACAGAGACAGTGCTTTTGGCTTGTCAATCCTGTTAGAGAAAGCATAATGCACCTCTTGTTTTTGTTGTTGTGCTGTCGTGCCCCCAGACATGTCTGAAAAGCAGACGTGACACCAACCAGAGTGACAGTAATTTGGCCGTCTGCCTCTGTGTGTATGATATTTTTCTAATTAGTTGACTCCGCGGTGAACATTGATTTTGTAACATTGTGATTACACAACACAGTGTAAACAACAGCATAGCCCATTAGCGTTACCGCTCTTGTTGTTGTAGACAGGATTTCATCGCTTTGACTTGGAGTAGGTGGGAGGACATGTCTGTGGACAACACCATCTCTATAACCAGTGATCGCAGCTCCCTAAACAAAAACACACACAAAGACACACAGTTTACTATTTGACCTTGTATGATGGATAGGAACTGAATAGAGTAAAAAAGGCAGGAAGGAAGACTCAGTGGGGTTGTAACCTTTTAAGATTTCCTGATGGATTTTCTTGTTCCCATGGTAACACTGGCTGCTAGAAAAGCCCATAGACTATAGTGCTGGTGTTTATCTTTGCTGATATCTGCGGAGCTTTTCCATGAATAACACAGTCCCATACTATATCTATGATATATGAAGCATCAGCCTCCATGAATATATAAACTGTATATACAGTATGGATATTTTCACATCGCAAACTCTACTCCAGTGTACTCAAGGATTGTTTACACTCACAGGAATACATGGAAATTGAGCTTATTTAGTTTAATATGATGATCAATGACCATTAACCATATTTGACATTTACTTCAGTTGCTAATGTAAATTCTGTATCAAAAAACTATTATACAATATGATAAGTTTATTTCCCTGACCACATATCTGATTGTTGGTGGAAGCAAATGTGACTCATTCACTGTTCCACTGCGGATTAGTGAATGAGTCACTAAACAGTGATAGTAATGTGATGCTTTATTGATTCATAATGGAGACATTTTATCTAAGGGGCTCAAAGGTCAGGGTCTAACTAGAGGACAATTATCCTCAAGGGGAATTTATCCCATCACTGCCAATATGTCACCCCAGATGTTCTTATTTCCATGAAATATTTAAAAAAAAATCTACACTTGATGTTTTTTCTTAGTGTCAACATATACCATGAAAAGACCAAAACCAACAATATGTTACTCTGTGTCTCAATATTTTCTGAATTCCCCATCCTGTTAATGACACTCAGCCCCAAACCCCATATTTCCTTCTTCAGTAGTATATCTTTTCACATATATATTTTCATTTTTTTAAGGCTATAATATTTTTACTAAAATAGTTGGACACTATAGTTTTTAGCAAACGTTACTCAATTAGAAATAAATATTGTATTTGTTGGGGACTATTTTTAGCTGCGGATTAATACACATTTGGTGCTCCACTAAGTATTTACAGTATGGCATGTGTGGGACTGACCAACACTAAAGTGCTCATGTGCCCACTGATGTGTTTTTAATATGTTTTGGGAAAAATGGAGGTCTATGGCACAGAAAAAAGCTACACAGGCAATATTTATTAGTAAGATTAATTCATTGTTTGTTTTTGGACCTCTCTCTTTTAATAGGATTTGTTGTCAATAAGAAAAATATACCTTCTATGTCCATAATAAAAAATGGCAAAAAAATTCTATAGTCTCCAACACAATAAGTGCACCAAAACAATTTGACCCCTTTACAATTCTTCTTCTTCTTTTTTTTTTTTTTTTTTTTTAAATTACTACCTTGGTTTTGTTGTTGGTCTCTTTCTATTTCAGTGGGTGATTTCTCGGTTGCGAACTTGTTACATTCAGGTGTGAAGTTATGTAGGCGGAGAGAACTCTTGGGTTTTTCCAGGAAATAGTGCTCTGTATGCCCCTTGTTCAAAATGCAACTGTTGGTGGAGACGGGTGAATATTTGTCTCTGCATCTGTCATTGATCACTGGTTTATTTATAAGTCTATATTCTTTCACTATATCTGCATTTACTGTATATATCTTAGATGGGTAATTGTAAGTTAAACTTCATTATTGCTGTGGTGGAAATTTCTTGACATCAAATCGAACAAAACTTATTTTCTACATTTGATTTTCCCTTGAAACTTTAATAAGCTATTGTATCCACTTTGAAGTATTTTGAAGTAAAAGGTGAACAGCTAAAAGAATTCAGATATTAGATTTGTTGTCATCTTACATCCATTCCTCTCTTGTCAAATTAATGAAGATGTTCATTTGGTCGTCCTGCAGCAGCCGAAACGCTGCACTCAGGTGATGGCTTTCCTGTACCGACCGGTCATTGTAGATCAATGCGAACTCGGACCTGAAAAAGAAAGAGGAGGCAAGCGAGGCAGGAAAGTGAGACAGGGTAAGGCATGAGACAAATAGATGGGTTAGTTGAAAAATGTGAGTGTGCAACACTGTAATAGTGTGGGGTGGAGGAGAGTGGGATAAAAGCAGAGTCCTCAGGGAGTCATTAAAGCACAATGGCTGCAGGTCTATAATGATGGATTTAAAAGTGCTGAGGAGTGGGATGTGATAAAAACTGGCACATGTGGGTATTAATGACTCAGTATAGCAGGTTAATTAACTAATTTCTCAATCAGGCGCTCCTTGTCCATTCATTTGCATAATCTACGTTATTAGATTGTTAAAAAGTACTACACTGTGAAATGTTTTCCATTTAGTGCTCATTTTGAAGCTCCCGCCACCCTTAAAACATTCGTGAAAATGCTTCAAAGACAACACTGAGTTGTGTGTTAAAATGTCTTTTGGTACCTAAAAACATCCTATAAAGGCAGTCTCCCGGTAAAATAATTTGGCACAACAGTTAAAAAAGAGGCAGTGCTCTGTATCTGTAACAGATGTTTTACTCTACTGTAGGTAATGGTACACTAGAAATACCGAGGTACTGAAAAGATTTTTCCATATCTTTGGGGAGGGGTCATTCCGAATAAATACAAACAAAGTTATTTTATTTATGCATTGAACCCAATCGAACTATAGGGACCAAATGAAGAAATGAACTGATCTTGTTTTCGATGACTTTTCCTATCGGTCAGATAAATAAATAAAAGCTGTGGGCTTCAGACCTCATCTTAACAGTTACAGTTTATTGTAATTGTTTGTTGTGAGTTTGGAAGGAGTTGTTGATTTTCTTAGTGGAATTGCCTTGAAAGATGTGCTCTATTCATATCTAATCCTAACCCTCTTTTTTAAGAAATTGCTAATTAAACTCAGCTGCTGTTGGTCAGTTGGTCGACCAGTTGAAACTGCCTCTTTCTTTCCTAAAATTACAATTAAATTACATGGTCTTTTTGAAGAACATTCATATGAATTTTGAGTCACGTACTAATTCCTTTTAAGGAAATTATAGGAAACTAGGCATAAAATTGTGTTACAGAACCAAAACATACATAGAAACCGCTACATTACATGCTTTTTAACTTTTGTACCATGACTTTTTTGGGGAATTAATTCCCCTGTTTATATTGTCATATTTAGTTTGTTTGTTTGTAGGATACAGGTGGACAGTGGAGAAGGGCATTCTGCTGCAGGAGAGGTTTGAGAGGTTTTTAATATTTTTTCACTGTGAATATAGAGTCAAGCTGATCAATACTCCTCATTAGGTAACAAACAACAAAGTTACCAGCCTTTTAAGCCTAGAGGACGTGAGTGTGTCACAGTGTTTGAAGATATGATTTGGGTGGAGTATGATTTTATGACAGATGCTGTTTATATAATGTAACTAAGACATGTTCTGTTATTGTGGAGCAGGCATCTTTGTGCTTTCTTCCCAAAATAAGGCCTGATGATGATGATGGGTGCCAAGAGACTGCGTTCTTCAGCCCTCCTATGTGGAAAATCAGCATCTAAAAATACTGTGTTCCCTGCAAGAAGATGTGTTTGCTTTAGAGTGCTCTGTCTCTCTCTCTCTGTTACCAAAACTGCACAAAGGCCTTTAAGTAATACTACCGTACTATTTCTACATTCCCTGTCATCCCTTACTATTCTACAGTTTCACAACAGGATGCGGCGTATATATAGCTGGTGCTTTATAAGACAGGGCTAATAAAATATGTTTCAGAAAAAGAGCTTACTTTGTGTGGATGTGAAAGTTGTTTGTGGTTCCTGTGTGTTCGTAGTCATGGATAGCTGCAGCAAACAGCGACGCCATCACCTCAAGCTCTGTCAGCCAGTGCTTTATAGACACAAGAGATGTAACAAATAAACATAAAAACAAACTGCACTTTGAGAGGAAGATGTTCGTTTTTATGTTAATGTATCAAATGTTAGTATGGTGACATAGGAATAATCAATTTACTGATTGATTTAATTGACCATAGATCTCCATTGTTGTCCACAAACTACAGTCTACAGTAGTACCGTGAAGTTTGACTGTTACTTTACCAGGGTATACCTGGGTCTGGACCTCCAATTTCTATTAAGTAGTTTGAGTTTTCGAGTACAGAGTGAAATCCTTCAGGCCACAAAGTGTAGGACACACTAACATGATATGAGGGTATCAAGTGGAAGTAAAAATGCTTCACTGTCCTCCTTTCATTTCAACGGCTGGCAGTTAGTTTGATGACATATAAAAGCAGAGTAGGTGGGAGACGACGAGAGCTTTTGTCTGTCTGACTTGACTGTGTGAGCAGATGGCTGTTTCCTGGAGGCAGTGTGTAACAGAAGGGAGTCACTATATGTGTCGAACTCGCAAAAATTGGTCGTTCATTTTTAGCTAGCACTAGTCAAAGCCATGCTAGCGGTTCTGTGAGACTGTGCCTTAGACACAGCGATGCTTTCAGCTAAACGCATACACCAAAATGTCATCAATGCTCACAGTGACAATGACTGAAAGTAGCGGCCTGGCCGACTGACATCATTAGACCAATGGTACTGGTGTGGCTTAAAAAAAAACATAAATGGGCTACACTGTTGCACCGCGTGACGTCTTCCATCAATCAGTGTCCTCTGTAGGAACAAATGAGCTTGGGGCTAAGTGTCACAGACATGTTAAGGAGGATGGAAAGTGTTGAGAAACAAACTCTGTTGGCAAACAAACATATTGTTGCTTTTTATCTTTTCATAGGATTTGATGAAATTTGAGGAAAAAAAATAAATAAATAAAAAAACACCAGCCATTAATAATACTGAAAAAGTATTCAGGTGAGTCCAGTGTACCACGAGTCCTGAGCGTAGCAGCAGGCAGTGCAGTGTTTGAGTCACATCAGCAGCATGAACGTGGCTGTGGTAGGGGTTGCTGTGTTTGCCGTATCCTCTCTCCAGTGCAGACAGGAACTCTGTCAGGCACGAGATGGGGATCTGCAAAATACATTACATAATCATTACAAGTGTGTTTAAAAATCCAAAGTTCAAAGGTTTGTGTCAATTTGTACACATAATCTGGCAACCCACTGTTTCTTCAAACACCACAAATCGTTAATAAAACCCATATGCCTGATTATATCTGCAAATTACAACACAAGTTTTGGAGCGGAGTCTACAAGGGCTGTAGTGGTGATATTAACTGTTTTTCATCCAAAGCACTGACATTCTTGCATATCTATGACAACATATTGTATGGAAAGTTTAAATCTAAAATGAGAAGACCTTAAAACGACTGTTGAGCTCATATCTGGTGATCAGCTCAAAGAAAAGAGTTCGTAGTGCGTGATCAGAGCTGGCCGAATTCAGAGCAAACACGTCGAAGTTCCAGCGGTCGACATCCTGAGGAGAAGGAGAGGACTGTGTTATTGATGCATACTTGTGCTGTGTATACTATCTTTTCTGTGATGTCAAATTTATCGCACACACATGACTCACTGTGAGATTTATGATTAGTAGGGGCTTACCCTGAGGCAGTTTACAACCACAGCAGGTTGGTCGGGCATGGCTGCAGTGTAGGCCCTCTTGAACATCCTGGAATAATGCAATGTTTATGTTGAGTTCAGTTAAAGTTCAGATGTTGACACTGTGCAGTGAACTCGACTCAGGAGCTGTTTATATAAATCCTCCAAAGGCCCTGTCCTCTTTGGAAGGATGTTTTAAAGAGAAAAGGAGGTTAATGTTTCACAGTGCAGTGCAGCTGTCTGTGTTTTCTGTAGCTGTAACAGTAACAACACTGTATGAGCTTACATTAGAGTTATAGTACAGATATGGAAATCAGTCATTTACGATGGGAGTTTTATGGTATGAGATGATAATTTCCTTATATTATTATATTTAGGTGTCATAAAGAAAACATATAGCTGTATGAGTGCTTCTGTATTCTTTCTACAACAGCTGCAATGTTACTGCGAAGTATTTAACATCCTGACATAATTACACAATTTGGATTTCTTGAACATATGTTGTTATACCTCTCCACAAATATCCCAGCCTGCACTGCATGGACGATGCTGCGGAACTTGGGCTTCTCATCTGAGCGTCGCACAGGCCGTCGAACCCTCTGGGTGAAGGTGGATGCCAGCCAGTCGGTGACCTCCGAAGGCACCCCATCTGACTGCAGCTGCTGTAGATCGTCTTCAGAGTCCAGACACTGCTTGAGAGAGACAAAACACACACACACACACACGCACACACACACACACACACACACAGATTGTTAGACAGATGATATGAAGACACAGAGTCAATAACAGCTGGATGAAAGCACTAAACTACTAGACTTCTTTAGTGGAAGAATACAGTAATGGCAGTTGTGAATGTTGTCATTATAAAACTTTACCATATAAACATATTGACAGTGACTTTAAAAGGCTTTAAAAACAGAAATATACATTTAAGGAGTTCTGCAAATCTCTGTTATTGCTTTAATTATAGAGCTCAAATGGAAACTAAAGGTGCCATATGTAAGTTTTGCTACTGCTACCTAGCCAACATTAGGAGCTAAGAGCTGTTTACTTACCTGTCTAGATGCAAGTTCAGCATCAAAATTCATTCGTTTACTCACCAACAGCTGTCTCCAGTGGTGGAAACAACAGCAATTTTAACTCGTTTTGAATCTATTTCTATCACTTCTTTTCTTCTACTGAAGTTAGCATGCTAACCAGCTAGCCCAGACCTGTCCCATCTTGTAATGCTACTATATAATAGCGTCCAGTCTGCCTTCAGCTCAACATGAGAGGATGAACATGTAATGCTGATCAGAGGATATATTCTAATGTCTTGTCTTGTAAATGCAATGATAGCTTAAGTTCTTGGTAAGTGACCATTATCACCACCACCACCCACTTCCAACAAGAAACAATGCATAATGGCTGAGAAAACTTACATAAAGCACCTTTAAAGGAATCGTATTGGAACTTCTTTACAAAATACGCATATTAGCTCTCTGACAGTTAGATGAGATCAGTACAACTCTCATCTCTCTCTTTAAAATATGAAGCTACAGGCTGCAGGCAGGAAGCTTAGCTTAGCATAAAGACGGGAAACTGAGGCAAACAGGTAGCCTGGCTCTTTGCAAAGATAGTTCCCAGGAAGTTACTACTCAGCCAAGAAATTGTCAAGCGCATAACACTCTGTAAAACAACATGTTTTTTTTGTATGGATTAAAAAAAACAAAATATATCATGTCAATAAAAAGCTTTAGGGGGGCTGGTAAGCAGATTTTGTTTCTTTTGGACAAGGCCTAGCTAGCTGCTCCTGTCTTTTTTCTAAGCTAAGCTAACCAGCTGCTAGCTGTAGCTTCATATTTACTATACACAATGAGAGTGGTATCAATTAATTCATCTGAATCTCTCACAGAAAGCGAAAAAGTATATACATGTCTTTTATATACCAAAGTAAAGTTACCATCTTGTCTTTTTGCAGCCTATTGGGCTTGGAACAAATACAGTGTCCTGTGCATGCCAATAAATGGCTGCTGCTAATAGTGTTTAAAGCATGAAGCGAGAACATAAACACATGAAAATTGATCTAAAATGTCAATTAATTAGCTTTTGTTTTCAAAAGCATATTATTCCACTATAGTGTACCTTGTTCCATCAAGGTAAACTGCCTCTAGTAACGATGCTGTGAAATCTAGATTCTTTTTGATCTCTTCAAAGTCGACATCTTTCTCCTCCAGCTGTTTCAGCATGCTCCTCAGCCTGAAAGGAAACATAATTATGTATTTGGGTGTGATCCAAACAAAATAAAAGGAAAGATGCCCTTTTAGAAAGTACTGGGAAGCTGTTTCACCTCTCAAAACAGTAATCACTGACAGGCGAGTGGTGTGAAAATGGTTGGAGGTTACGGCAGTTTGGCATTATAGTCTTCACATTAAATCACACTAGGTACAGCAATAAAAGTTATAGCTACAGAAGAAAGGTCATTCTGAAAAAAAAATGGCTTTGTGTGATAGAAGCTTTCTAAACGTGGCTCTAAATTGACAGCACTTGTCGTTGTCTTGAGTGAGTCAAACAAGGTCCAAACAGTGTTTTAACAACAGGTTGAAATATTTCCTCGTGAATGGAAAGAGTTCATTTGGAAGCGATTTAAATGCCATGCTGTCCAAAGAAAGCCAGTGGCAAAAGGGCATCGTTAGTGCCAAATTTTCCATGAGAGGAAAGCTTCCCATGGTCAGGGTCTTATGTAACCTGCATTTTGTCAAAGTGGGCCATGTGAAGAATCATGTTTTTGAGTGTTAAAGTGTTGGCCGCATTCTGATCTCATCTGAGAACATGTTGCTCACTCTTGCTTTTGAAACTTTTAATCAAATTACAAAAGGGAACTGATGGAAATGCATTAATCTCCTGCTGCATAATAAAAAACAAATGCTTGGAGCTCATGTCACCTACAACATGACCCACCTGCAATGTGCAATGTAATCTTATCTCAGTGATCAATCCAAAAGCTTTGATAGATAATACAGCATCTGATAAAGAATCTCACCTCAGTTTATAGAACTGGAACCTTTATGCTTTATTGGGATTTTATTTTCTCCATGACTGTTTGAATGAGAGATTTATTTGATATGAAACATTTTGGTGGGCTGCCTGCATGGTGCCATGACCATAACGACTGTATTCAAACTGCGCCAGGCCACGCTGTGGAGCCAACTCCTGGGGATGAGACGCTCACAGCTTTTCAAGTGTTTATCACGCTGGCAAAGGCTTTCAAAAGCTGTTGAGTCATAAAAATAGCATGCATCTGAATACCACTGCTCGCTTTCAATCTCAAATAATCTTTCGTGATAACACAGTCTTTTTTGTTCCAACTGTTCGCGGTAGAAGAGCCTCTGACAGCACGTTTACAGGAAATTACTCGTCAAGTGCACTTGAGAAATTTTGTTTATAGAGACAAATCTCCCTTTGGCTCAGACTTTGTTGAATCTACACACTGCATAGTGTCATCCTTACTAAGTGCGTATCAACACAGTAATGTAGAGGTGTTTGAATAGTATCAGCTCTGTCAGCACAAATCTTTTAAATATATTCCTGGAAAAGAAGGAAACAAAAACTTAAATCCACATCACATTATATCCCAATTCACCATGACCCGCTTGAAAGTTCACTTGTAAATATCGACAAACATGGTGAAAGAAATGTGTGGATTTCTGTCAAAAAAATAACCCCAAAAACACTTACAAGATTTGAAGCTGTGAATCCTGCAGACACTAATACATCAGTGTGTTAACCAAAACAAAACCACATGACCCATCACCTCTGCAGCACATTTCCCTCCCACAGCAAAAGCATGAGTAAGACAAGTGTTCGCACAACCACTCAGGAGCAACAAGTGTCTGTTCACATGCTGCTAAGAATATTCGGAGACAAAAGTAGTAACATGGTAAAAGGATACTTTTTAAGGTCAGAATAAGCTTCTCATTTTTTGCCTTACGGAACATGAAGGTGTGCAGATGTAAAATGTGTCCAAAAAAATTCACTGAGGAGTGATGCATTATCACTCATCACTGTTCACTGCAGGGTGTATTTTTAAGTCACATATTTCCATTGCCACAAAACAAGAAAACTACTCCAGACATGAGAATATGATCCAGACAGCCTAACTACACCAAACACTACAGCTACTTGTGTTAATTTCAAAGATGTAGCATGTTGGGTAAAGACCTCCAGCCTTATTTATGCACTTACAGAGAGGCTGAACATGTAGATAGCTTACTATGATATAATCTGTACTAATTTTAGCCCCCTGTCTTACCTAGAGATGGGGATCTGCAGCCGTTTCTTACGGATTCGCACCAGTTCAGCCATTCCACACTCAAGCTGCTCCCTAATGGACCCCAGAGTTCAATAAAAAAAACAATAAGAGTATGAAAAAGGAAAATGATTGCAGAGGAGTAGTAAGCAGAAAAGTTCTCCAAACCACCAACGCAAACTTTGAGTGTCCTGAGACAGACTTCTGTTTCAACAGCTCTCCCACCCACTTCTGGGGGACCTACTCCACTTCAATCTGATTGGTTAGGCAGGCCCAGACTGTGTCAGTATGTGTGTGTCAGAGAGAGAGAAAGAGAGAGAAGGAGAGAGTGCCTGGTGTGTGTGTGTGTGTGTGTGTGTGCGTGCGTGTCTTTGTCAGTGAGTGAGTGTTTGTGTATATGTGTACATCCGTTGTGTGAAGTGAGTTAGTTGACCTGGCTCACTGATGAAGTGTTGACTGCGAGACTTTCAAGCCGTGTGTACTCAAATCCCAAATGAGAATTTTCCACCGCAGCCGCAAATCAGGGAACTACACAGAGACAGTCTTTCACTGAAACCCACCAGTCACCCGAACCAAAATACATAAACAAAGCTTGTCCTCGTAAGCCACCCACAACAGCCCGATAGGTTAACTACTGTTCTCGATACTGCTGTGCTGGGGGGAAATGGGCACCCTTACATTTAAAGTACATAGTTTTGTTGCTCTGATTTTCTACAAAAGTCACAATGCAAAAAGAAAATTATTTAACAAAATATAAGAAGAAGACAAAATTTACTACAAACTAAAACTGCTCTGGCAGTTTCAATCAACAGCGCAGAGCCTCAAATCGTAATTAAAATGATACCAGTAATTTATCTTCATAGCACAGTCAAAACATCTTTACTGACATGCCTCATCAATAAATGTCAGCTGAATGTTTTATCTCTGACCAAAAAAAAAAAAAGAAAAAGAAAAAAGGCAGTTCTGTGTCCAAAAAAGGACAGCACGCAACCTTCAAGATCAGACAAGACAATGAGAGTCGTCCCTACACACTTTTACAGTTGTAGGTCCTAAATCCATTACTAGTCTTTATTTATAGAGTATTGTGAGAGCTGTTCTACAACATGGCTTGGGAAAACCCCCTGCCTGCTGTCGGTCTCCCTCCTTGCTTGTCCTGCCTTGACTGCTGGGTCAGACTGACTCTCATGCTCCCATGCTCTTTGACATGGCACAACGTATTGCGAAGATGAGGAGAAGCAACATTACGACGTATGATTCTCCATCTCATGTGTCACTTTAGGTTGCCTTTCTCCCACCAAAAAGAAAAATGCCTAATGTTGTAAAGCAAGGGACTCAACACATAGAAATGAGAGTATAGACTTACACTCATTCATACTTTGATGTCTTTTAAAAATGTCAATTAAATACTAAAGAAGAGTAATTCATCCAGTGTCAGTGTCAGTCAGTTACAAACTCTAAACTTATTTCCCTTTGTGTGCTTGCCAGCCTTTTGCTTTACACTTTATTTTTTTTTCCCCCTTCCATTCGTCCGTCATCCTCTCGGTCTCCCTCTGATGATGACGAACATACAGCCTCTGATCTTTCTCTGTCCACCCAGTGACCTGAGCCAATTATTACTCACAGACTCTACACTTCAGAGAGAGAAAATCTGACTTAGCGGCACCATAAATCACATCAAAATGTTTCGTGTCTCCGCATGGGAACGAGCTGTTCAAGAAACTGAGGGTGCTGAGGAGCACAGAGAGCGGTCATTTTGGTTTTTACAACAGTGGAATCAGGTATATTTCACCCAAATCAACGTAGTGGTCAAATGTTTAACATCTCTGACTAAAGCTTCCCTGGTCTCTGGGATGAACCTCACACCCAATAAACCATCTGGGTCTGATTAAAGGCTGGTGCATCCAAATCACAAAAATCATGTTTTCCCACTTAGCTGTACCTCCTGTGGTATGAAGGCATGCAGATAGTTTTGGGTGTATTTTGTATTTTTTTGCCTCCACCCTGAAACACTGAGGGTGATGGTATGTTGTTTGTTGTGCTCACAGCTTTGTGAAATTTCTCCTTTTTTTTTTTTTTTTAAATGAAATGTCTTGACATTTGCCATTTGAACTGCAATCACAATGGTGATGCCATCATTCATCATCAGGTCAACATTTTATTGTTAAAGCAATAGTTTGCTTTATGACCAAATTCATGGAAAACTAATGATAGCTCCGTCAGCTTCAGCTGTGCTTTGTGTTTAGTGCTAATTAGCAAATGTTAGCACGATAATATGCCAAGATAGTGATGATGGCAAACCTTGCTGCATGCTAGTATTGTCATTGTGAACATGTTGATGATTGCTAGTGTTAGCATTTAGCTCAAAGCACCACTGTGCACAGCCTCACAGAACTGCTAGCATAGGTGTAGACTCAGAGACTCTTGTTTAAATGTAATTTTTCAATGCTGTGAGCACCACAAATTCCATTCGCCTCCATTGTTCTGTGCTGAAGTGTCAACATCTCAAAACCTGGGAAAATAAATTTAAAATATATGCGCATAGATGAGGCTTAATGAGATTATTTTTGGGAGAACTGAACCTTTAAAATTTTGCAACATATGAGATTACTGTATATTAGTATTCATATCAATGATGAGAAGCATACAAAGTATATCTCTATGTTCAAAAAAATACAGTGACACCTCATTGCACAACACACCATTCACCGAATAAGCAAATCTAATCCTTCTGCATCTTTATTGCCTGTTACAACCAGGGAATGTGACTGTAAATATACATGTGCAGAAAGTGTAAAGTTAGAAGAATAAAACATTGGAAGCAGTATCTTACCGTTCCAGTGTGGTCCTCCATGTCACAAGACTGAGACGTCTATCACCTGCTCTGTGTATTTTACAAGTCGGTGTCATGACCTCAGGCTCTGAATGCTGCTGCAGACCATGTGTGTGTTTG